TGAATGCAAGAGGAACAGCACCTCATTTTTCACTTACACACTTTATAGCCTTTGGGAACGAACATCGCAGTTGTTTAACTCAAAGCATGACCTCTGACCTTCATTTTGTTCACAAGTTTGTACAGTGTGGAAGCAGGCCATTCAGCCCATCGCGTCCACACCGACCCTTCAAATAGCATCCCAACCACCCCGTACCCTATCCCTGCATTTCCCACCCTAGACACTATAGGCGATTTAACATAGCCAATCCACCTAACCTACACATCATTGGACTGTGAGAGGGAACCAGAACACCTCGAAGAAACCCACGAAAGTGAACACGAAGTGAATGTGCAAACTCCACACAGACAGTCGCCAGAGGCTGGGACTGAACCCAGGTCCCTGGTACCGTGAGGCAGCAGTGCTAACCACTGCCACTGTGCTGCCCCTCGGCACTCCCCTCCTCCCAAATCACAGGAACACATTTGCAATTTACATACAGATGGTATCATAGTAACCTTTCACCACCAACCCCCTTCATCACTGCCTCCACCATTCCTACCGTAACATGTTTCTTTATTCACTATTGAACATGTAGTGGAAAACTCAAATGCTTAATTTCTAGCATCAGTTCTCATTTAGAATACTTTGTGAAACCCAAGCTGTCCTTCAAATGATGACAAACACAATGCACTAACAGTCAGCTGCCTTCCTAGCAGCACCTTAATTCCTCATGGCTCCTGCTGAAAATCATCAGCCAGCTACTTCAGATTATAACCATTATGAAATACCTCTAGAGGAGGACTGAAATATTTTTTAAAAAAAAAAAGCAGTAAGTGGTCATTTAGCTCCTGGAGTCTGCTCCATTAAGATAATTGGCAATTACCTACCTCAGCTACATCTTGGCTTACTAGTCCAAATCTCGAGTTCCTTTGTTTCTGATATCTGGCTCAAACTTAACTGCTTTGGTGAAGGAGATACACAATAAAGTCTTGCTACAATCATACAAGGTCTTCATGAAAACTTATCTGGAATACTGCAGTTTCGATGTCCTATAATAAAGCAAGTTGTGTACTCGTGTTGGAGATAGTGCAGCTGAAGTTCACTATACTGGTCCCTGGAATAAATAAATTGTCCTATAAGGAGATATTATTATTCAATATCTGGAGTTTAGACAAATGAGGGGAAACCTAACTGAAAAATACAAGATTCTGAAGATTCAGGATTGCATGCGTTGTTTCCCCTAATTGGGGGATCTAAAAGCCAGGGAAATACTCTTTGTATAAAGGATTAATTATTTAGGATTGAGATGAGAATAGGGCAGGTAATGGCTAGTAGTATTAGCACTAGACTATTAATCCAGAGTGGTTAAGTGGCGCAGAACCCCAAATCCACCATGGCTGTACTGAATGGCATAGCAGGCTAAACGGGTCAGATGGTTTATTTGTGCTACTATCTCCTGCGTTCATGATTTGAATATACTCAACGAATGACTACAGAATTCCAAATATTCACAACATTTTCACTGCAGGACTCCTCGTCTTAGTCCTAAATGGCAAAGCATTTTTTCTGCTTAGACTCTTCAGGGCAAGGGAATTATCTTCACAGTAGCTCTCATGTAAAGCCCCTCCACTGAAGAATGAAAAAGGAAAAAATGTCATACAAATACATATATAAATGGTGGTCTTAAGTAAGAGGTTTGTTTGATTTTCTTCCAGTGAGATAACTTTGTTAATGAGATATTATTAAAGTACATAAACACAAGAATAGAACTAATATGTTCTGAATTGATCGTTCTAGAGGATTGTCCATGATTACTGACCAGACTAAATTTGTTGCCAAAAACAACTCTCATCAGCTGTCTGATGGCTAACACTAAAATGTTACCACCTTGTGAAGGAGGTACAACTCAACAAAACATTACAGAAGCATGGTGACATAGTTCAACAGTGACCAGCTGACAGAAAATGACTAGTTTCAGCAAGGAAATACTGGAGATTGTGAACTGTGAGAGGGATACAGCATGATTTGGATAAGCTCAGTGAGTGGTCTAATGCATGACAGATGGAAATACTACAAAGATAAATGCAAGGATTTTCACTTTAGTAGCAAAACTCAGGAAGGCAGATTATCCGAGTAGTGAGAGATTGGGAAAGAGAGGAATGGGTAGAATGAGGCCAGGGTATCCTTGTACACCAGTCACTGAAAGCTACCATGCAGGTGGTGAAAAAAGAAAGCAAATGGTACGTTGCCCTTCATAGCAAGAGGATTTAAGTAAGAAGCAGGGATATCTTGCAGCAGTTGTGCAGGACTACAGGGTCTCAGTGAGACCACACCTGGAATCGTGCTTGCAGTTTTGGTCTCTTTATGAGGAAGGATGCTTTGGTTATGGAGGGAATGCAACACATGTTCACTAGACTGATTCCTGGGATATCAGGACTGATACATAAAGAGAGATTGGATCAGTTAGGACTGTATTCACTGGAGTTTAGAAGAATGGGGTTGGGGGTTGGAAATTGCAAAGAAACCTATAAAATATTCTAACAGGACTAAACACGATAACACAGGTAGGATCTTCTGATGATTGTAAGACAGGTGGTCGAGGCAATAACCCTTTATTTCTCCAAGCCTAAGCTATAGCGTTGTGGAAAAGAAAACACTTGCAGAAATCTCAAAAGCAAAAAAACCTGTGTTCAAAAAAATTGCAAAAATTTAAAATGCAACAAATTTTACCAGTTTACTTCTGGCCCCAAGGTCATCAGCTGTGGCTCTAATCTGGGACAAATTGCCCCAGTATTTGTCCTATATGGATGCTTTATCCTGCCAGCAAACACATTTGTGCTTGAAGTACCTTTGTTAATTACAATCAAGCAGATCATCTACATTAGTTCAGTAATGGATACAGACCAATTCTGAAAATACTACACAATCTTACGTATGATAACGGGATTGTTTACAAGTTACATAAACTGAAACAAGGCATTCAATTGGAGTACATTGGCATTACTTCCCAAAAGCAATAACCGAAGGGATAAATCCTTACACTGTTTCTATACCCCTTTATTCCCGTTCAACTTCCTATTTGACCAAATTATACGCCAGATTGCACAAAACATAAATATTCATTTTTTTTAAACTTTTCACAGGCACAGGTAATACACAGCATTTTATTGTTTTCTTGATCAATGTGCTGGTGTTTAAAAAGTAAAATAAACAAGCAAAAAAATATGAAATGTAATAAATGATTGATCTCACTGTTGTACTTATTTTAAATTTTATTGCAAGTAATCTTGGTCCAAAGTGGCTGTTTAGAGGTTAAGCAAGGTGGAAATTAGAGGCACATAACACAAACACATAGGAAAAACTTAGTTCACTATCGGTGGTGACTTCCTGATAAAATATGCCATTTTCTAGGGGCATTCCAATGAGCACTAATGAAAGGGAAGTAGTTAAAATTGTAATGAAATACTGTGAACAAAAAAACTGCAGATGCTGGGGAGAGGGAGGGGTGATGGCAGAAGTATGGGAATCGGATCAGATAGGGCTGAGGGCTCTGTCAACCATGGTTGTGGGGAATCTTCAGGTGTGGAATTTAGGTGGACATTTTCAACACCCCTTCTCTTCCACCCCCCCAAGTCAGAACAGATGTGACTGAGAAACCGGGAGAATGGGACTGAATCACTCTCCAGGTACCGTCTCCAAGTACTTTATTCTCTCTCAACCTCACCAGGGGCGCTCATTCTACTCTTACCCAGCTATTTCCATTCCTGAAGGGTCTTGAAACATTAACTATTTTCGCTGCACAGATGCTGCCAGACCTGCTGAGTTTCTCCAGCAATTTCCGTTTTTGTTAGTGCTATAATGGTGTGTTCCAATTGTGAGGGAAGGTCACCGACATTTGTAATACTTTGCTTTCCATGCACACTATATTAGGCATAAAGTAAAAGCTAAAAAGGAAGAAGTGTTTCCAGGACGAAAAGGAGAGTTATGCCAAAGGAAATAGATGAAAAGAGCCAATTGCTATTAATCCTGGGAGGAGACTAGGCCATGCTCAAATACCTACCCTCCCCCTCACCGTCCATAACGGACAACTTTAAAGTTCAGAACTACTTCAAAGACTATTTCAGTAAGAGGACGGGTTTACGGCAAATGCCGCCGATATACTTACCATTACTGGTGAAGTAGTAAACCATGGTCGATCAGCAGGCTCCAGCTCAGGTTCAGGCTAGGAGTGACGGGAATTCAATGGAGGAGCCGGCGCTGCGGCCACGTGATCAGTGCGCTGCAAGCGCCTCTGGGTGCAAGCTACACCAAAGCATTTGCACAATGTTTCAGGGCGGAAGAAATAAAGCAATGCAGCCAAACTGAAACCCGGTCAGAGATAGTAGGAACTGCAGATGCTGCAGAATCTGAGATAACAAGGTGTAGAGCTAGATGAACACAGCTGGCCGAGCAGGATTTTTCTGAAGGGTCTAGGCCCGAAACGTCAGCTTTCCTGCTCCTCTGATGCTGCTGGGCCTACTGTGTTCATCCAGCTCTACACCTTGTTATCTCTGAAACCCGGTCAGGTGGGTGCCCTGCAATTATTCATAAGCATCAAGGCCATGATTTAAGAATAATTAAATAGAGCAGATCGGATGTCAACTTCTCATTTCTGCGCGATAGCAATTCAAACCTCCCCGCTGCAATTAAAAAAAAGGTCTGAGAAATCGCGCTCTGAACGTTGGTTCATTTCCCATATTGCCATTGAAGATGTTTGATCTGATTTTTTATTTTCCGCCCACATCATACCGCGGAAGTTCGATGAGGTGGGGAGGGGGAAGAGAGGGCCGCGCTGCTTAATCCAATCAGAGCTGTTTCCAGCATAGGTTGACAGATGATCCATCCAATATGAGATGGAATAGGTACGTCGTCACCACAG